TCCCATAATTTAGGTTTTTTCGACACATTAAAACAAAATCAGAACGGTGTTAACCATCCGGTCCGAAAATTTAAAAAAAATAAAACTTAAACGATATTTGTAGCAGGACGAAGTTACTATTTGCTTAATACTGAGCACAAAACGCAAGATGGACTTGCATTTTCATCCAAAGTGTCATTGTAACATCACATCAATGTGACACGCCATCACTGCTGACTACCCTTCACTGCGTCCCAGGTAAAACGCAACTGGGACTTGCGTTTCATAGGTTAACGCAAGGCCCATTTGCGTTTTATGCTAAAACACAAGGCCCAGTTGCGTTTTACAAACCTTCATATTTTGCCTACAAATACCATTGCGTTCGAGGCTTTTCAATAAAACCAACGTATTCTTTTACACCGCATTGTTACTTCAATTTTTTTTAGTATGTTTAAATCTTTTAATTTTTGCGTCTTTGGTATGTTTAAATCGTGTTCACAATGAATTTCAACTAAATTTCGCGAATACGACGACGCCGAAATGCCATCCTCCGATTGCCCTGGCAGACATAGTTGAGTCATTGTTGGGAGCAGTATACATCGACTGGGGATGATCAGTGAACAGTTTGCACTTACAAATGCTGCACTACATACTTTAACATGGTATTTTAATTTTACTTAGACTGTTTTAATATATCTTACCGTTTTTTAGGGTATTTCCAACTACCACAATACTCACCAATTTTAATATCGTACTACTTCTGCACATTAATTGTTATTCAACTACTCTATATTTACAATCTTGGAAACCGCACCTAGGGGCAAAACGCAAGTGCCTCATGAGTTTTCAATTTCTATAATTCTATAAATAAGTCATGTCCTCTAAACTCCAACTACATCCTCTATCATGCTTAAACTACCAATGTATACTTGTTACTTTTGCTTGTCAAAATTCGAAATATCCAAACAATCCCCACGCATTCATCTGTTTTTTATATTTCAACCAACAATTGAGGAATATAATTTCACCGCCAGTAAGTTGCATAAATAAATTTACATACATATATTTCGTGTTTACATTTACAAATTGGGTTATCAGTATTTTTTTCTAATCTCTTCCAATATTTGCTTGCAGGTACAAAACATGACAATCGGTTCCCAATTAATTCTCGCGAAAAATTCTTGGTTCACAATTAAGTCTCACGACATATAATATTATGTATTCATAATACATATGCCGTGAGCTGCAAAATATATATGAAAAAACAAGCGTGATGGATGTTATGACAGACTACACAAACTGTCATTGTCACGTTTGTTTATTTCAATAATAAACTTAATTAACCCGGTAACTGAACCCAATGCTGTTGCAGTTACTGCTTCCTTAGTATTCCTTGGCCAGGAAATGATCCTAGCCGGACTTGCACTGTCGACAATGAATACTATACACTTTTATTACTTCATTTGTAAAGTACACAGAATATGAATTGTACCTGAACATTATATTGAAATAAAATATATTGTGGCCTACTTCATTGTTTATATTACCATTTTCATTGCACATCTCCACTTCAGTTTGTATATATATATATATATATATATATATATATATATATATATATATTCGGCTGTTTTATACTTACTAATCATATTCGGCTGTTTTATACTTACTAATCATATTCGGCTGTTTTATACTTACTAATCATATACATTTCAAAGCCCGGTTAACCAAAACCATTCAAAACTATTAACAGATAACAATCTCACACCTATTATAAAAAGCACACACTAACAGGTGCTTCAAATAGGTATCGAACCAAGGCCTATTAGCCCTAACGCACTTTCAAATACAAACTACACCAACTGCGCAACCGAACCATTTCTTACCATAACACTATTAACAGATAACAATCTCACACCTATTATAAAAAGCACACACTAACAGGTGCTTCGAATAGGTATCGAACCAAGGCCTATTAGCCCTAACGCACTTTCAAATACAAACTACACCAACTGCGCAACCGAACCATTTCTTACCATAACTCTAATTTTTTTTAGTAAGGGTACTCTACACTTTCAACCATTTATTCCCAACACTGCTTACGTTAGGTTTCGAACAAAGGCAAAGCGGCATGTGGCACCCATTCAAATACATTGTAAGCCAACTACACACCCAATCACTCTTTACACATTTCACAAAAATATTAAAAATATAGCGTCTCAATAACTATAAAAACAAAAACCAAATTACTACTCATCAAGTTTCAACCCAAGGCAAATGCTATACCAAACAACCAAATTCACACGCTAAACCAACTAAGCAACACATCACTTAGTTCACATTTTACTACAATATTATACATAAACCCACCTCCTACACACTAAAAATCGACATGTGCTAACAATAGGTTTCAAAACAAGGCCATTTAGCCAAACAAGCATTCTTAATCACAAAGCTTAACCAACTATGCAACACCACATTCTATTTATATTTGTCTTTTTTATTATACATACTCAAAACAATGAACAGTACTAAACATGACGCAACAATATAAACAACTCCGATTAGACGACGATCAGTCAGGGTTCACCGGAGGCTGTAAAACGCATCTGCTAATAGCGTTTTACGTAGTACTCAAAAAACGCAATTCGTTTTTGCGTTTTTGTACACTTTTCCGGCGACGTACGGCGGTAAAGAAAACGCATTTGGGTCTTGCGTTTTACGTATTCACAGGTACAATACGTAAAACTCAACTCCCAATTGCGTTTTAGCGTATTCCCTACGTATTTTGAAAACGCAACTGGTGGTTGCGTTTTTCGTATTGAATACGAAAAACGCAACCACCAGTTGTGTTTTCTGTATTTAACAAAAAAAAAAATACGGATGAAATACGTTCAAAAACGCAACTCTCAATAGAGTTTTGCATATTTCTGTAAAAAAAAAAAAGTCAATACATATTTTGGCTAATTCTCAAGCTTTTCTACACATTCTTGTCTTTTTCCCCTTCTTTTCTTTTTTTTCCTTTTTTATTTTTTTTCTCTTTTTTTTTTTTGGTGTTTGGTTCAAGAATAAAATAACATATACGGAGTATTTGCTTGTGAATATTCTCATAGTTGATTTAAGTTATTTAATTTTTTGTCATGATTATGATGGTAAGATTGGAAAAGAAAAATGCTTTAACTATAGCTATGTTATTTGAGGCCTCATAGTTTGAGGCCTTATAGTTGTTGTCTGGGACGAATTTAGAAAATTATCTGAGTGTGGGTGAAGTTTAAATGAGGTTAGAAATGTCAATGAAGTTTAAATGATGTTAGAAATGTCAATAACGAAATATCAAACAACCATAATAAGGTTAAAATATAAAATATAGGAATAAAGGTCAAATAGGTCATCGAACTACACACCAAACTTCAATTAGACCATTCTACTCAAAAAAGCTAAACAATTGAGCCTAGAGTGACCTGTTGACCGGATAATTAGATTACAGGGCAGTTATCAAATTAATTTTTATTTTAAAAATTTATTTTAATACTTTTTAAATAATAATAATTTTTTTTAAAAAAAAGGAAAACGAAAAACCACCGGCGACCCCCTCCCTCCCCCCACCCCCCCACCCCTCTCTCTTCTTCGTCTGTTTCTTATGCTACTGCAATCATGATCTCAGCACTACCTTCATTTTCACTGTCGACATCGCCGCCGGCATAATCCAGCAGAGCAGCGACGAACAGCCGAGAATGGTCGTCGGCGTCGTCTGAGTAGAGGGAAGACAGCAGAAGCATCGTAACTGGAAAAAATAAACCCAACTCCGCCTCGACGCAACACCAACGCCAACGCCGCTGCCATCCGCTCGCACTCAGCCGCATCGTGAAACTCCAGCCGATGATTTGCAGAACACGACAGTCCTTAGCAGCATGCCTTCGTCGCCGTTGATCCTCTCCATCACCGGAAAAGGATGCTCCACGCCATTTTTTTGTTTGATGTAAATTTCCGGCGTTTTTCCTTTTCCTTTTTATGTTTTGTTTTGTTTTAAAAAGTTTTATTATTTAAGAATTATTAAAATAAGTTTTTAAAATAAAAAATAATTTAGTAACCGCCACGTCATCTAATTACCAGGTCAACAGGTCACTTTAGGTTCAATTGTTTGAATTTGTGCTGTTCAGGGACTTGATTGTAACATTTTTGAGTTGGATGGCCTAATTGATGTTTGGTGTGTAGTTCGATGACCTATTTGACCCTTATTCCTAAAATATATTATAAATTACAATATAATGTTTTTGATAGATTACATGATTGATATGGTCGAAACCACAAATATATTTGAGTGGAGTGAAAATGTGAAAATATCCTACTATATAATAAAGCCATAAAATCTTGGTCAATCAAATTCTTGCAAATTCCCGCCCAGTGAAAACGCTGCCGTTTGGTTTATGGCTAATTTGGATCCTAATTTTTCTGATTTATTTAATAATAAATAATAAATACTAACTACAACAAATAATTGTGTTTGTATTGGAATTGAAAACTAAAGCTATATTTAGAACCCCTTTTGGAGTCCCAATTAACTTGGAATCTGTTCAGCCGTCAGATGAGTTAAATGCTACTGACAAAGCATACGGTTATACGTAAAGATCTTCACCGAATACATACAGATTAGAGATATATTACATACACTACAAGAAATCTTTCATTTCCCGACGAAAATTTTAACGACGCTCTAAAAAATATCGCTAAATATAATAATTTGTGACGTTATATTAAATAACGTCACTATATATTTTGGTAGAGACAATAAAAAATTTTGTAATATTTACTGACAAAATATAATTTTTTTGTCAGTAAAGATTTAGAATCAATGACGTTTTATAATAAACGTCCCTAATGTTTTATTTTAAAAATTAATTTTAACATAAAACGTCAGTAAAAGTGAAAATATTTTGGGGGGAAATTTTTTATTAGTTGGCACCATTAAGAAGCAATATCTCCCGGAGAGAAAAAAAAAAAAACTTGCATTGTCTAATTATCTCACTGCTCTTGCATCTGGGTGAAGAAGGTTTCCACAACCATTTCTGTAGCAGCGCAGTATCATTTGGCACCACTCCGAGACACACCGCCGTTTCCACTACGATCGCTCCGTGACACTACTGCCGATTCCACTTCGAGAAGACTGTAATTTTCACAAGAACATCGCACTCTGCCTCTCTGGTTTTCCCCTCATCTCACTACACTACAATAGAATTTTCTCTACTTCTAATCTCACTATTTCATATATCATAATACCTAGATTTAATCTCTGCAAAATTCTAGTGGAAGTCATCCAAAGGACCCAAGCTTACAAGAGAAGATTCATGTCCAGGTAAATACAAACCCTAATCAACTAATTTCAGTCCAAACATTCGTGTATAAACTCAATATTTGGTATCATTTGGGTGATTTTTGCCCTCATTGGGTTTTTTCAAAGTTGGGGCATGGTGATTATTCATCAGCGAACACAAAAGTCCTGCGAATGGTTAACACCCTTGGAGTTGATGATGAAACAAAACAAAATATAGAGTCTCTGCAGAATGAGTTGTAATAGACTAAGGAGAAGTTACAGGCCGTTGAAGAGTTGAAGAAACAATCAGGTATTTTTAGGTTTTGTTCTAAAGTTGTGTGGTTTTTTGATGTTCTACTCCTGTTCATGAAAAAATCAAATGATTTTTGCTACTATGCTTAGATTGTGCACATAGAATCTCATACTCCTTGGGAACTTCATGTCTTCTTTTTTCTTGTCAAATTTGGATTCTGTCTAAGAACAATGTTGGACTAAAATTATATTTTTTGAGAAGCATCAAAAGCTAGTATTGTCATCTTCCAAATTAGTAAGATGTTTGGTTGAATTATATAGGAATGACTACTTAATGAGATGTATATTTACTAATATTGTAGATATGATGTGAATATCAATACCCTTGATAGAGTGATGAGTTTTTGTTCATTTTCATCACGTTTCCTTTACTTGATCTGCTTTTTGGTTGAGTCAGTTTAGTTGATATGTCCAGTGCGTCATTATTGAACTTTATAGTCTAGCTGATGGTCTTATTCTTTTTCCAATTGCATATTGTTTAGATTATCCAGCAGATGCTGGAACACTGATTAACTCTTATATTTCTGGAAAGATTCAAACAGTGAGGAAGTTGCTCTTGATATTTGCTTTGCTCTTAATTGCTTATGGTGAGGAAGTTGAAACATCCGACTTCTTAGTATTCTTTGATGAAGATACAAGACAGTTTTTGCTGATAGAATCTCAGTCTTCAGAAGGGCCTGCTGTGAACCTTTTGGGCACAAGGTAATAGATGATTCGTGGCTATAGCCAGAGAATGTTTTCCTTCTTTTAAACTGGTGTCTAGTAGGAATGTTATCTTTGGTTATTTTTCTTTCATCCTTATGTCTAGTGGTTATTCATTTTCCAAACTTGTCTCACCATTTGTTTAATTCTCGTATGTTGTTTAGTTATCTAGGTAAACCAGTGTCCGAAAAGATTAAAACACTAATGATGAAATCATCTCAAAAGTGGGGCTTGTTGTAGTGAGAAAAAAAGTGTGTAAGAAATGTGAATTAAAGGTGAAAATGTGAGAAGGAAAATAGAAATAGCATATCACAAATTGGAATGACTGAGAAGAGGATCTCCATCTTATGTGGTGAATAGTTTTAGGCATAAAAAGTATCTACAGAGGTGAGGCTAACTGCTTCTGTGTAGGGTACACAAATTCATTAGCTTTAGTATAGTGAATGTGTGAATAGAGCTGAGGTTTGGACGCCATATTATCTTGATTGTAGTCTTTGCTTCTTAGTGCTAGCTGATGATGATAACTGGTATATGGTAGGCATTATTGGTTCAGGAGACATATAGAATTGGTAATCATAGACGATGATGGAGTTGTATAATCTATATGTGAGCAGCCGGTGTTCGGCACTATAAAAGACCTTGTCATTCTGCCTTGGAATGACCGATTTCATTATAAAAGCTCACAGGTTTTTAGTTACTTTTCTTTCAACAGTCAGATTTATTTCTATACAAATTCAGGATATCATTCTACTTTCCTTGTCTGTCCTTGGCGTCGTACATATCTCTTGTTCTATGTCAGATTTTAAGTGGATTACACATCATTTACTTTATAAATATACAATGAGATGCTTAAAAATAGACCTTTGTAGTCTTGCTCTTTCCATTATGTAAAACAATGGCCAAATCATGTGTGAATTGAGATCATATTCTTATGTGCATTTGCTCAAATCTATTTAATTTGGTTCTTTGTTAGAAGCATTAGTTGCATATTCCATATTATAGACAGTACGTTTAGAATGAAATGTTCTGATATATATATATATATATATATATATATATATATATATATATATATATTCTACCATCTTAATACATATATGTATTCTTTTTACTATTGTCTTTTCGGTGGTTTTTGCATTTGAATTAGACATGAGGCTATCTCGGATGATGATGCTTCAATTGGGGTTTCCACGAAAAAGAAAGGTCTCTCTCTCATGTTGACCAATAGGTAATAGGAAGAGAAGTGGGAGATATATGCCATATTCTAATGTTGATTCATTCCTAGCGGTAAAACTTCTTGTTTCTCTATACTATCTTTTCCATATATAGCTTCTTAAACCATCTTATTCATGTACACTGGTAAGACAGTTAACCTTGACTGATTTATTAGTGTGTGTGTAGAGAAGAAAAGGATGCAACAGGGTGTTTGCATGTAACTTCTTTAGTTAGTTATTGATGGTACTTATTCTGTGGTATTATATACAGTCCAAATCTAAACAGTAGTTGGGCTTGGTTGTTTGTAGTGTTATTTGCTATTCAAGTTACAGTGATCCCTAAAGGTCAATATGTTCTCAAGTATTAATTACATTTTAAATACAATTATATAGTTATAGGATATATTATATTCACTTAATAGTAATTTTTTTTTTTTTTTTTTTTTTGTAGTGGACATTGGATGTTGATGCGGTTTGTCCTTCATTATATGTATTTGGATCCCATGAATGGCAAAGAGCCCATGTTTGCAGCTGTTGTTCACCTTCTACACAACCATGGAGAAATGCTGGACCCATTATATACACATTACATCTTTGTAATTCAATATCATACTATAAAACGTATTCTTCTATTTTGAATATTTAATTGATGCTAAAATGTTTTATTTTCAATTACATGAAACTGTTGTGTAAACCTTATATATACAAGTATATGTAAATATCATCAATTATTAAAAAAATTGCAAATATCTCAAAATATAAAATTGTGCGATCACAATGAATATGGAAAATATGTCAGTAGATGTCTTTTTAGTGACAAATTGTTATTTTGTCATCAATTAATTTTTTTTAGTGACAACATAATAATATACACAATCGTCAATAAATGTTATTTTATTGACGCATTTCATTTTTCATCACCAATTAAATTTATTCATGACAAGCATAATTGTATAGAAAACGTCAGTAAAAACACATTTGCTGACGAAATATTTTACTTCGTCACAAACTATTACCGACGTTTTTGTTAATATTTCGTTTCAAAAAGTATGTATTCCATGACATTATCAAGACCATGCAAAAACGTCAGTAATCGTAATATTTTATGACAAAAAATTAACTTCGTCAGTAATACCTTTCCATACGCCGCTAACCCGACGGTCCGGGTGACATTTTTATTTCGTCAGTAAAGACATTTGGCGACGTATTTTTATTTTTATCGACGTTTACAAAACGTCGCTAAATGTTAATATTCTTGTAGTGATATATAAGCTACGGTTATACATATACTACTATATATAAATACATAAATATATATATCAATTCAAATTTTCTACAGCTTTCCATATGTGCGTTTCTTCTTCCCAAATACCATCATAATGTATCTGCAAATGTGCGTAAAGTTGGGTAGATTTCAGCCTTCAAAACTTGGCTCTATAAATACTTGGTACGACATCTTCATTCTCTACCACCATTCTCACTTTGAAGCTAGGTTTGATCCAATTTTCTTTCAAATTTTCTGATTATGAAAATCTGCAAATGGCTCCACTGTTCATTCAAGGTAAAGACCTGGTGATATCCACATATAAAAAGGCAATAAGATTAAGACTGATTCGTACCTATAATATACTAGAAGGGAGAAATTCAGAATCCATCAAAAGCCAGAATGTTTGTTTCATGACAGTGAGGTAAGCTATTTTTTCTCGTACAACTGAAAATCAAAATAAAAAATATTGTTACTAACATTTTTTTCTGTCTTTTTAGGGCACATATGTTCATGGGAATATTCCAAAAGATTGTGTCTAACAGTTTTCTAAACTGTTGAAAGAAGACAAGGTTTATGCTATAAAGGATTTTGCAGTAATCTCACACTACTATCAGTACAAAACCACTGATCACACATACATGATTAGATTCACTCATGAAACTCATGTAGAGAGACATAGGCGAAAGGGTTTTCCCAACCTCATGTTTCGGATTAAGTCTTTTTCGGACTTAATGTCTGGTAGTGTGTCTGACAAGCATTTGATTGGTATGATTTATATGTTTTCTATTATTTGTTTTCTCTATCTTATATTTACTATGTTTTAGTTTTCTAATTTATTCTTTTTTAACGGCCTTATTTTCATTATAGATGTCATTGGAATAGTTGTGGAGTTCTACAGTCCAAAACAAATGACCATAGCTGGATTTCCTTCCAAACTTCTCGATTTTCTTATTGAAGATGGCCAGTAAGTTTCCTTTCTTTTAAAATTTTATCTATTTAGGTTAAACCTACTTATTCAGTTAAAAGGAAAGTAATGAATCCTTAATGTCCTATTTAAACATACTGAAATTCTAATAATCCTAATAATATTCCAATAGTTACAGTACTGCTTTTCTGTTATATATAGTAGTATTTAACCTGCTCTATTTTAATTTAATAGGCTTTAAGTAAAACATTAATAAATACTGAAAAAAAATAATAGACATAGAGTATAAAACTTATCTTTAACTTTAATGTTCCAATCTTCTGTTCTTCATGATAAGCCATCTTTGAATTTTAGGCTTAGTTCCAGTGCTCTTTTAGATTTTCTCCACTGTAGTAATCAAGTAAAAAACACAGGATTTAAGTAAACCATTAATAAATACTGAAAAAATAAAAATACTAGACATAGAGTATAAAACTTAGCTTAAACTTTAATGTTCCAATCTTGTGTTCTTCATGATAAGCTCATCTTTGAATTTTTGGTTAGTTACATTGCTCTTTTAGATTTTTTCCACTGTATTAATAAAGTAAAACACATAGGATATAAGTAAAACATTAATAAATACTGGAAAAAAAA